ACTGAAACTGAACCCGAAGAAGACTCAGGTGAGGTATAGCAAATTCTTGACATGGCGACCTGTTGAACAGACACAGGTTGAGGAAATGTATATCCATGGCTATTTGAGTCAAGTAATCTCTGCCATGGAGAACCAACTGTGTCACATCAGCAGACGAACGATTGACATCGAAAGCTTTCAGAAGGTTTAAGCTGTTCTTCTCAGGAAACCTGCCGTTGTGCTTGGCACGGAAAAAATTCTCTCAGTAGGTGATCCCCGTGCTAACCAGTGGATAAGAAAGGTGGACCCTGGGCATGAAAGTCGTTCACGAGTTGTAGACTAGTCAATGCAGCATCAGACGATGTACGTTAGAAATAACAAGAAATACAAGAAGACAAATGAATGGATAAGAGCCCAAACGATGTGAAAGCCTAAGTGGCAATAGGTAGGACGCGTTGTAGGGGTAGAGAAAATAGATGAACCAGAAAGACATTGGACTGGATTCTGAAAGAGAGAACGGCCCACGTTAGGACCTCAACATCGATGGCAGGATCAACAGAACAATTTCGCTGGATCGAGATTGATAGCAATGACGGAAAACCGGAATCAGCAGTAATCTCGAAGAGGCCTTCATCCAGCAGGTGATTTACAAAGGCCGATAATTGCACTGATTTTGATTATAGTGGATATGATGATGAGGGACTTCTAGTTTGGGAGCCGCAGTACGACAGGCATCGACTAGGACCATGCTAACATGCAATATGTCGGAACAAGGTAGAGGCAAATCTGCGTTCTGAGGGAAACATGCTACGATGTAGCACCCGATCCCTTACCCTTATAGCAACAATGTAGTAAGACTGCAGGTACAGCGGGCCTCACTTACCAGAGACTTTCTGTTTATGCAAATCGCTCAATGTGGTGATTTCAAGAAACATATGTGAAAAAATACCATCACGTTCATTTATACCTTTTGATTGTCATGGTGATGAATGTCACATGTGCAAACGTGTAGTGCTGTTAATACTGCTATGTCATGGATGAAATTTCTCTGTCACATTTGGAAGCGGATACGAGGACTTTATCGATATAGATGTTGAGTGTTCGTGTGTCTTTGTGCAACTACATACAAAATAGTTTCATTCATGCATCTGCTGGAAAATCTTTCCGAAACCAGGTATGAAACAAGTGCACATACTTTTCAGGAATCGTTAGAATTTTTGCAGTAAATTGCGAGAGCAGTAGATCATCAACTTCCGGTCCTTCTCAATCCATAGCATTAAAGCAGATCTTAGGTTAAGAACATACGCAATGTACAATTATTACAACGTTTTGCCATTATATGATAAAATGTAAAATAAATATTTACTAACTACGGACAGAATATTCTTCTAACCGAAGTCAAAGATCTAAGGACTGCCTGGACGTTTGCAACAATGAGCATAAGGATTAATATATTTCAGTTATTTGAATAAAATGAACAAATGATACAACTGATTTCTGACATATAATATCGATAACCGAAGACCAAGTGACACCATTTTTGTCACGCGAATCTTCACTACCATCAGATTCGCCTCAACATTGTTGTTTCAATTGATGTATTCGTTTGTTCATTTATATGACTGGAAAATTACATTCATAACTGTCACTGAACCGAACGACGACAAGTGAGTCGAAAAGCTACATAAATTAATTGATTTAAAAGTTTCATTACTTCAGCTTCAACATCATGATGTTCAACATAACGGTTTATGGAAAGAAACTCACCAGTCTTTTGCAATGGTAACAGAACGTTGGTGCCAGAAAAGTCGTTTCCCTGAAATTATGCCTCGATTCTGTTCGATAATTCCTCCTGACACGCAAAAAATATTGCTTCAACTCCTGCTTGCTGATTTTGCCATCTCTGCAAAGACGTCTGATCACAAAAAACGACGCATGGAAATTTATTACTGGTCCGTATCGAAGTTAGAGAAACTTTCAATCAGTGGGAAGTTTCCGGCGAACAGTTCAAACTCTTCCTGCGAAATGTATCCGTCTTTGTCCAAGTCGTAGTGCTTAAAGACGGCCTGAAATAAATTATTGAATTATTGTTGCTCATTACCCGCCTGTCACCTTACCTCCACCATCGCATGCACGTGCTTCTGCAGCACTAACGGCTCCAGTCGGCTGCACACGCCTTCGGCCCAGTCAGCTGTGATTCCTGCATATCTAACCGTGGGCTAAACTACGCAATAAAATCTTATTGAGTCATGAGTCATGCGTGTTTACAGAATATGATCTTTACACTCGGTCGGTGACAGTGGTTGAAACCATTCGTAGTAGTTAAACAATTTGTGCATTTCTCTTGTCTGATTAAAATTGAAGTTTTCTGAATATGATGTCAGTTTAAACACAAACCGAGGCACTAGTTCCAACCTACCCTCATTTATATTGCTCAAACGATACGATATTAATTTTTACTTTATCCACTGAACTGAGGCTGAAGCTACTCCTACTAGGCTAAGATAAGAAGACCTGCATATTGATGATAAAATGAAATTCAGAATCTGGTTAAAAGATGTATATCACTTATAGCATTTAATAAAGCGGACAGGGGGGAGGGGCAAAGAAAAGGGTCGTTAAATTCTGGACGATGCTACCACTCCTCTAACAGAGCCAATTTAAAAAACGATGTACACTAGGACACATGCGCATTATTTAGCCTGCCGGCTCGTGATTTCCGAATGTCTATATTAAGAATATTTCACTCGCGCCTCATTTGACATGACTTGAATCTGATTTGCCTTTGTGCTTCCAAGCGGCTTTGGTGCTTGGTACACTTGTAGTAATTGTTCCATTCTAGCAATAGAATAGCAATACACTGCATCAGTGTAAAATAAGGGGGAGCAAGTTGCCTGAAGAGCATGGCAATAAGCCTGCATTTTGAAAAACTGCAACTGTCTGACAGTTTCTTTTTTTCACCTTTGCAATCGCAGTCATAATACCCTTATTCGAACTTGAGACACCCGTGTTTTCGACACATTTCAGAACAAAGTTGCAATGATGCATTTGACTACATGCGTTAATTTCGTCTGCGCCTCATTTGTGCAGTTAATCATAGTTTGAAATCAAATGTGCCGATTTTATTTCTAATGTAAGATCCATGCAAAAGTTCATCAGTAGGGCATCTCATGAAAAGTGCTAGTCATCGTGTCTGAACCAATGGCTTATACTGCAGTGATAGAACTTAATACTAATCTTCAGTATAAGGCTGATCATAGGATACGTTTAGTAAGATGCACCAAGTATCATAATGCCAATAGTCATTATGAATATTGTACGTTCAAAAGCTATTGAAAAATGATAACCGATGAATGAGTAAATGCGGGGGAGCATGATCATTTCAGTAATCATGTTCATTCCAAAGGAACGATGGCAGTTACGGTCGCGATTCTTATATTCATGATGATTGATAGCTACATTATGGAAGTGATTTTACAATCTTCATAGTAACTATCATTTATAAATCATGATCTTGTGATGTTCATCATTATAATGAATATGATAATTGGAGTAGGAATAGGGGAAAATTTGATGGTTTAGAAAATGTTTAAATGGCCACTTGCGATTGGAACATCATTTTGTGAATCTACAGCTTTGCGCGACTGTGTATGACTGCGAAAGCTGCGTGTCGACAGAAAAAGGTAAGGTGCTGCTATGAATATAACAAAATTCTATAAAAACAAAGATATAAATAGATTCCATTGGGATCACGATGCGAAATAAAGAAATAAGAAGACGCACAGAAACAATGAGGGACGTTATACAATCTTGAAAGGCTTCAGTGTGCAAGTCATATTACAAGAATTGCACATGAACTCAATGGTGAAAGATATCTTGGTATTCAAGACTACTGTAGGCGGAATCGGAATCAGCTCAGACGAAATAATGAGTTAAAAGTGAGTCATGGACTTTTGTAAGACAAATCACAGACAAGTGTGAGCATCGAGATCAAGTAGGTGTAGTCATCGTTAATTACGAAGAAAGGAGGATCAAAACTATTAACGATGGGATCATGATGATATGTGATGACTGATAGTGTTATCGATTGAGTGGGTCGAACGATTATGATCAAACTCTGTTTAACAATGAGAAAGTTTGATCAAAATTTTATGTGACTTTTCAGATGTAATCAAAAGGCTAAAGTTTCTTTCGAATTGCTGAGGAGATTCCTGCTGAAAGCTTAAAACTGGTATCTTCACTGACGAGAAATATCTGTTCGAGGTCAATACCTCACAAAATACCTAAACTGCCGGAATCCGTTGGGTTGGAAGAACATTCAAAGGACATCGGTCATAGTTCACGAGAGCTGCCACCAGGAATGGACAATCGAACAACTGCTGATCAGAATGCGCTCAAGATTAAAGAAGATGTTTGCGTTCACGGCGTGCCTACGACGAGGACTGGTCAGATGAAAAATTAAACAATTACCATGGCGAGTCGCTTAACATTGATACTGCTGATGGAAGCAACTAGTTTGGTTTTTCAGCGAGGTTGTACTACCCTCATGCTTCTGGTCGCGGAGACTCTATGGCATTTGAGCTGCAGCGGTGCAAATAATGTAAATACCGTAGATTGGAGTTGGAGCATGCTAACTCGTATTTGCAGTAAGAACAACCGGAAAGGACTACAGAAAAGTGTCTTCACTATTAGTGAGGTCAATACTCCATAGAATTTAAATACATTATATTCTAACGCTCGGTAATATCTGTTCAGAACATAGCAAAAAGCGTTAGTTTCATGTAATAAGTCTATTTTCAACTTTGAACATTTATGTATAGATCAAAAAACCTCCGCCAATTACGGTGTCATCCAAGAAGTTAATTATGTTATCATAACTGTTGATTATAATCATATTTACCCGAAGTAGAGAGCGCGGTTCACGGCATAACGAAAGCGCGTATATTTCGTCATCGCTGTAAGGCATACTCAGTGCCACCTAAAAGTAAGTAATCATCAAAACATTTGAAAAATATAAGCAAACTAAATATTGAAATGGTGTTATCACTGAATTTGCTACAGAGTCGCATTCTGCCACTAAGTAACGAAGTGTTCACTAACTTTCGACATATTTTCTAATTTTCCTTATCCCCATTTCATCTGAGCGGTAGGATAATTTTGAAGCGCTTACTCTTCGTAAAAGAAAATTATGCAGATGAGACAGTTTAGATTTTCTACAGACAATTTCTCTATTCATTACTCGAATTCGGTGTCCTTGTCTCGGGTAAAGAGCTAAAATCTGAACAGGTGCCATGTGGTAGATGGAAGTATGGCTCAGTCATATGCCACTCATGGAAAGAGTCACACAACAGTGGTAAAAACTTATCATGAACTCTTAACAGCCGGCTGAGGAACTAATTTTCATCGACACCAACTGATATATTTATATATTTAAGGAAACCCCGTCTGCAAGAAGGGCACAACAGCTGTTGAACCGGAATAGAGGAACGGAAAGGAGCTTTAGGTAACTTATGAAACAAAGCACCAAGGAACCGTTTCTTCATGCCCTTTACCCCTTGCATTGAAAAAGGCAACTCATTGGTCCGGATGACGCAAAATGGGAGATTTCAAGAAACGAACGGAAAATATCTTCCATTTCGCCAGTACGAGATCATAATATGGGAATGCAAAGAAATAACGGAAACCAGAATTGCGCCTCTGTTTCGTTCTACATCTGACTGGAGGTCAGGAAAAGGCATTTTCCATTGGCCACTGTCTTCCCATGTTACCCAATGGCAAAATCTGTACCGCATCAACATCCAAAACTGTTCGCATGCACGACTTCTCAAAGATCAGATTTCATGCTGTGTTTCGCAATTCCTTTACTTCGAATTGCCTAGGGTGAGAAATGTACGCCAGCCACGGCTTCACAAAATTTGAGTACCTGCAGATCCAAACGCATATCGCATCATTTTGTCCAATAAGGTTACCTCTCACTCATCACAAACCTGTCACAGGAGCTGGTAAATCTGGTCTTGGAGAAATCATGCTAATTCGACATAATCGATTGTTTGGAAACAGAACGGTTATGCAGGCAACCCGGTTCAACTATTTTGAGTTTTATATTGCTGATGAAAATGCCTATGCTTAGGTAAATCTGTCATTTAAAAAAACAGTTTATGCGTCGAGGGTGCCAACGTCTTAGCGAGTACACCTTCAGTCGTATACTTTATCATCTGATATAAATATGTACCATTACTTTTTGCAACTAGGTCATTGATATTTACTACTTGCTGTATATTCAGATCTGCTCAAGGAATATTTCCATCAAGCACTACTCAATGTTATGAATAAATCGTTGACCGAGCAACAGTGCGGCAGCTGTTCGCAGTGGAAGAGTATCCAAGTGGACCACTGGTAGGGTTCATCGAAGCAAAGACTTTAGTCCTGTTTCCAAATCAAGGCCTGGATATGTGAGTGAGACGCGTCAGATCGACGACAATAGTCACCGAAGACAAAATCCAACAATCCTTGTTGACGAATGTGTGCAGCAAAACTTAAATTCGCACTTGAGAAATATCATTTCCAACCACTCAGGTGTCACAAAATCTGGCTGTACTGTTGTCAAGCGTTTGATCTTTTCAAATGATTATGGAAACAAGCATCAAAATAGAGAGCACCACCAAACAGAAAACGCCGCGTGACAAAACCAATTGCACAACGCCTCACGCGGTTCAACACGAACATACCTTTAGGGTATGAATCAAATCTTCATTGAGATCAGGAAGCATTTGCGGCCGATCAAGATCAAGGACCAGATGCTTGAAAATAAGTACCAACTGCGTGAGCTTTCGACAGTTTATAAGATCTTCGCTGACGTAGTCTGGAGTAGCGGAATGCAGTGCGATCAAATCCTTGAGATGAACACCTCTACAAGAGGCGAATGTTTCTATCAACGCTATTGTTCAAGGCGACGCGCCTTCAAAACTCACATGATAGGTATCCGATACGTGTGGCAGCTGTTCAGGGCTTTTCTATACGCAGAAAAGTTACTGTCGGAAGATAAGAGGTTGGAGAATTCGGTTAATGTCTAAAATTTAGCATAGCATGACAACACATACGTATATCGTTTACCGTTCGACATTCCTGAGAAATGCACAACGACGTTTTCCTAAGCCGCGCCAACGCTGAATGAGTTAATCCTCCAACCACAGCCATCAGAGTATTGAAATTGTTCAAGTGTCGAAGGTGCTAAAACAAAAAGATAGGCTATTGTCCATTGTACGACCCAGCATTTCATTATACGTTTCCTAATATTTGTTCATTATGCATGAATCGAAGTTTCCGAAGTGTTACAATGCTGCGAATACCGGTGCCCTGTATCGAGAATACTGACGTCCGTTTCCATGCTGTAAAAAGGAGTTCGTAACAGCCGAAGAATTAGGGCACTGCTATGGAGATCACTAGGACCGTTCATTCCATACCGCCACACCACTTTACAGTGTCAGCTCAGGTATGCGCATTGAGATCGCCAATTAAAATGACGGATTCGTAGTTCACACTTCGTACAGAGCACTTTCTAATTGCTCCATGAAAGAATCATTTCCTTCTACCCAATTTGGCGCATGAACCTGTAACCGCATTAGAGGTTTCGGCTGTTGCTCTTTCTTCGCTAACATGCATCCATTCAATGATTCTGTCAGCCAGGCTGGGTTCTATCAGAACACCAACATGGGCCTAAGCGCGCGTCGTGATATCAACAGTGAGTAGAATAGCTTCGTACAGAGCACATTCCATTTCCTCAGAGGAGGAGTCATATTTTCCCACTAAATTGGAAATAAAATCACGCTTTAGGTTGTTGCAGCTTCAGTCGGCGAACTACCACCCTTCCGCTGATAGGCTTCTATTCAATGATTCTATCTGCGAGGTTGGGTTCTACCAGAACACCAATACCGGCCTAAGCGTGTGTTGTGATATCGACACCGAGTAGAATATCTTCCAGCCGCAGAGGTTCAAGATTCCAGAGCCTTGGCGCTTTGTTGACGAGAGTCCAGCAATGTCGAGTTAGTGCCTTGCCTCCCCATCAACTAGCCGTGTAGCTTTTTATCTGAATATTGGGATTTTCAGATTTTCGACTCTGCGCTGCCATTATTGGCATCTTTCCATGAAATCATAGATGAAATTGCATATTGACATCACGCTGTTTGCTTCCTCTCTTCAGAATGGGTACGGTCCATTGCTGACTGGTACATTTTTCTTTCTCCTGTTGATTTTCGGCGGCCGTCGCCATGCTCCTCCGTGCCAACTGCCAGAAGGCAAGAGATATGCTCTGATTACCAACTTCTCGCAGCCTGGCTCAGTTCCGAACCAGCACGATCGGTTCTTTGCAGCTTGGGCAACTACCACGTAACTTATCGGGTTCAATAATCGCAGTAACATTAGGGGCAGATGGCTAAATTGTACGAAGACCTCGCCATGGTCGCCAACCCTTTACTTTCTCGTCCGGGTTGTTACCGGTGAAGGCGGCAATTTTTTATGAAAGGCATTTATTTGAAGCTAAAGAAGCTGTCAATGCTAGTCAGATGAAAAACAAGGGCTCTGCTGGAGAACGTTTGAAAAGCTAAGGGAGCAAAACCTTAGCAGATGCAACAAAGGATGCTTATGAAAGAAGATGCTGTAAGTCTAAAGCGATCAAAGTTAGAAGTTAACCTGTTGGAGCAAAGAACGTCAAGCATGATAATCATGCTGGCAACTTAGCTGCACAAAATGAAAGTGCGTTTTAGGTATAAACACAAAACAGGCCTCGGGTGAGATCTGGAGATTTCCAACGAGGGCATCACTGAAGCATAATCAACTTCAAGTAAACAAACATCGAGTATCTTTCTTCTTCTATAGTATGGATACAGACGACTAGAAAGTCGGTACGGTTTTCTGGAACCTGCGTAATTTTATTGACCAAGGGTTTTACTCACAGATGGGCACTAGACATATCACACTACTGTCATATGGCTGAGAGCTTCGTCAACTTTATTTTCACGTGACTGCTGCAGTTCTCCTACTCACTACATTTAGTACAGTATTCTTTAATGCGGTACTCCTGAAAACGCGTAGTTGCGTGCTACCTGCATAGCGTTATTGATTCAACTTCAGAATTACTATTTGACGTTGCATATCGAAAAAGTCTATATATTACAGTAAAGCTGTTCTCTCTATCTCGCGTTATGCATACCTGCATCTTCAGTTGCCGGACGTGAGGTATGCGACTGATTATGCTGTTATACAACTCATAAAATGCACATTT